GGCTTTCACGGCCATCGTTCAGCATATCATTGTCTTTCGGGCTCGATTGCACGAAGAATTCAGTTAACATCTCCTGATGATGCCATCCGCTCGTGATGGCGAAACGTCGAGAACCTCTTCCCGCTCTCGTCAGCCGAACAGCCCGAAAAACAATGATATGCTTTTTTGCTTTAGTTTTATGATTAAAATGTTGTACCTACCTATGTTTTTATGAAAAGTTTCTAAATATTCAAGAATATTTTTAGGTTCCTATAAAACTACTAGTTGTGCCAGCGAATTCGTCCGCAAACCTCCTCATCTTCAAGTGTTTCCTTTCCACATTGCCCGTGATGTTTTATAACCGAAAGCCTTCCTCGACCAATGCAACCAACACAAATATATTTTTTCAATTCGAACCAGTAGTTTTTATATTTGTATACATAGCGATGTTTTTGTCAATTCAACCAAGCTGCACGTAAAAATGTCGATATTATATATTTTAAAGAATTGTTATACTTTATTATATTAGTAAAGGTAAAAAATCATTTATATTTTGTCAATTCTGTTTTATATTAAAAAAAAGGTATGACAAATTTAATTCCTTAAGGTGTTTACTAAAAATAATTATTAGTGATAGATATTGCATTGTTTTAGTTGAAACCTATTTCTCATTCTATTTATACTAATATATAAAGCTGAAGAGTTTGTTTGTTTGAACGCGATAATATCAGGAACTACGAGTTCGAATTGAAAAAATATTTTTGTATTGGTTGCATTCATTGAGGAAGGCTTTCGGTTATAAAACGTCGCTCTGTGACTAATGCAAGCGAAGATACAGCGAGAAATTCGAAAAAATTAGGGAAAAATATTTATTATTATGGGTTTCCGAGGCGTAGGTACCTACGCTGCAAAAACGGTTTAAATACTCAAAAAATATGTGGGAGAAAATGCTTTTTCGTTAAATGATCTAAAATAAAGTTTGCGACACTATATGACTATCTTTTGAGATTAACTTACAAGAACGGGTTTGCAAAACTATTCGCGCGAAGTCGCTGACACAGCTAGTAAATAATAAAGATGACTTGGGAGATTTTTTCTCGTGTAATCTGTACCCGTCTCGTGTAAAAAGTATACGCAATAAATGTATTTTTGGCTTCTAATTAGAATTACTTTGCAACACAGTTCATTTACAAAAAGGTAGTCTCTTGTTTTAGATGAATTAAAAGCAAGTACATTTACAAGAAGCTACAAGAGAGTTTGGAATATCGAAATTCCGTCCCGGAGGTGCTTCCGAGAGGCAAACACATTTAAAAAATCCAAGTCTATTTCACTAATGTGGTGCTAGCACCGGTATCCGAACCTAGAGTGTAACTAAACAAGAAGTTTTTAATAAAACAACAATTAGAATTTAAACAGATATATTTTATTAACCATTTCGATAAGATGCGTTCATTCCCGAACTATTTTAACTACTTACTAGGTATTAGATGCAACTGCTTCTCGAAAGTTCAAAAATGTTTATACGTATAATAACAATGAGTTTTAACGAGATTATATATTTTTAGATAGTAATACCAGGTTTATTCTACTGTTTGTCCATTAATGCAGTTTCCGCGAGTAAGATTTAAAACGCAGTTGCACCATAATATGATGGCAACACTGTCTAATAACAATGGTGACAAACACGACACCAGTGTTCCTACGACGTGTTGCCATATAAATGAGATATGTCGTAAAAAATCTATAGGTACATTCAATTACAAATTCCAAACTACGTCTAATGTAAATATGTATAATATATAGAAATAAGATAATTTTGATTATGAGCGCTTAGTTTTACAAATTCGTGGGGCACTTTCAAGTCTAAATGGGTAGTAGCGGCTGGTGTGTTGAACGACTTTCGTCTTTAACCATAGACAAAGATGTTTCAAAAAGTTATTACTGAAGGTACTTTGTTAGCACGCGTACTTTATATAACTCGCATCTACACGTTTATGTTGTGCATATATGATAATTTAATAAACACTTGCTTAATTTATAAAGTTCAATAATAAACGAACACCAAACGCTTCTAACCCATATTTGTTCAAATTACTAATAGAAACTATTTTTTTTTTCAAAAATTTCAAAGAGCGAAAGACCTATTCTAATATCAAGTATAAATACACACAGTTTTAAATAACAATCTTAACTATGTTATTTACAATTATAAAACTATTGGCTTTACGCGACCTCGACTTTGAGCGTATCTTGAAAAATGTGTTAATTCTAAAAGTTTGTCGATAGTTTAAAAGTAAAAGATTAGTTATAGAATTTGAGTTACTTTTTGCGGGGCTACAGGCATGAGATAAGACCCGCTTAATAAAGGTCGCGTAATCCAAAACCCAGTACGTGGGAACTTAGTCACAAAAAACAACAATCAGTTGACTAGAATAACTAAATGTTACAATATTTTGCAAGTTTTCATCTAACATACAGATGTTTAACATACCAGAAAGTCAGGAATCACGAGTGTGATGATATTGTCACACGAGGCACTGTGTCTGATTAATATTACAGGAATTCTACTGAACACTGATTCTTAACTACGTCGAACAAAAAGCACTTGTTCAAAATCGTCATTTAAAAAACGAACAGAGTGAACAAAACGCGTGGAGTCATAGACAATCGCCAAAGTGACACTTCAGCGATAAGAGACAAAAAAACAAGTGCCCTTACAGATTGTGAAACCAATTCTAGTGCATCCCAGCCAAACGGGATATTAATATGTCATTACATACAAGGTGACTATTCAGTCTATTATATCAAGGAAGACGTCGAGTCTCAATACAGTTTATAAATACTTTGTACTACAGAAGGGTACTAGCTCCATTTATTTGTCAATCACAATATTTTCATCTAGATTACTCTACGAATGATCTAATTCGTTGGGTTACGAGACCCTGATCACAATTTCAACGGTTCAAAGAGAATTGTACAAAAAATATTGTCTCCATTTCCAAACTAATTTGGTCCATTGTCTACGTCTATAAAACTCTAGCCTTTAAACGAAAGCAATTTCAAAATAAAAGAATCTATTAAGGCACAAATCTGTGTCTCCGTGATCCAACCTGATATGCCTCCAACACTACGCTACGCTACCTCAAAGGAAACTAAGCGACCGATTCAAAAATCACATTGTAAAAACTAAACTAATACGCTACGGTATCGAAACACCTCGCACCCAAAAACCATATCTATAGCTACACTATATACTGGGATGCACTTTGCTATATTACAAAAATAAAGCGTAAATAACAGCTGAGGGTAGATACGAATCGTAATCAGTGCGTCCACGTACGAAATTCTTCATTCTTGCGTCGTCGCCGCTGCGCGCCGGACCTGTGTCATGCAAATCTTCTACCTCCTCCACTGTCATGCAACTTTGGTCCAATACTTACTAAACTACATGGGGTCATGGTATATCCGTTAAGCCACTACCTACATAGTAAACAATAGGTACGGAAAGCTATAAATGAAAGAACGACTGTGTTTTTTTACCATTTATTTCTATTATCGTCTAAGTGAAGATGAACCATATTATATTAGGCTTGATGGAGGCGCGCGGCCCAGCTAGCGATCCCAAAACTATTCTAGAACATCATAATTATCAAAACTACTAACAGTTTATTAAGATTAACCAGTAAAGCATATTTATTAGAGCCATGATATCATTCGCATACAGGGTGATGATATATTATAATTCATATTTAAATATACTTTTTAATAGCTGGATTGGTTCCATAGTCATGCAGCTTGGATCTACGAAAATGATGAACACCTTAACACAATTGCGTATAGATAAATGTATAGGTGAGGTTGCTCCTATATGAGGTTAGTCCATGTTTCATGTCATATTTTCCTCAATCCCAAGAGACTGGAAGGCATGTAGACTACGGAACCCAGTAAATGTCCATGCCAAGTATTTATGATATATCTACAGAAGTACCCACATTGCGCCGTCTACTTTCATAGAGTATACATGGAAACTCATATTGCACGTTTTTCTAATAGCAGTCTGTGAAACAGCCCATCTATACTATGACTAATACCATAAAATGCCTTTTGAAATAAATAAGGGAATGTCAATTACAGCCACTATTAACTCATTTTATAGTCAGATCTATATCTATCTAGTTGCTGTTATATCGTGTTGCCATGTTTTAGTCATGTCAAATCATTGTCATATTAATGTAATTAATAACATGGCAACACATATTGCGACAGCAACGAGACCCAGTCCTAAATAAAACTAGCTACAAACTACAGAACTCGACTACTTACTGATCAAATAATAAATAATATTAATCAAGTCTAAATAGTCGACAGTAGACAATGTTGAATAAAAATTTAAATTTACTTAATATGTACCTTATATCTTCCAAATTAAGGTGGAACTTCTCTGAAACCTTCTTCTTCTTATAATTAAAGGGAAAATAATTGAATTCAATTCGTTGAAGCAAACACGACCGCACGCCTCAAGCGGCGAACGACTACTAAGTACAGAAATACCGAATCTTAACGTCGGGTAGTTATACAAATACCCGCTACAGAATACATCGATCTAGATTACAAAAATATTATAATATGCAGGTGTATAATAACTCATCTTTGCCACAGGATTAAAGTCAGTAGCTCAACTTTAAGTAGCAAGGATTTTCACATATGCGTTACTGTTGACGCTACACTGTGCTCGATTCTTGATGTTTTATCATACACTTAGCTTTATCGTAATTATTGCTTTCGATTTATACTTATAATATGTATGTAAATCTTCAAAATCACTACTCTACCCAACTACACTAGCATCTGCCGAAAACACACAACATAATTTAAGATACTTAGACACTTTTTAGTTTGTAACATCTTATTATACTGATCAAAAAGTTGTATATTAAATGTATGTATATAACCTTCATGAATTATACTTAACATTGGTCCAGAATAACTGGAGTCGCGTAAGCAAGAACATCACTACTGCAATGTTAGTGCTCGTGCTGTATGGCACATCACTACTGCGAAAGCTTGATGAGTCTAGGCGAGAAGTTGAGCAAGATAAAGACCGTAGGAATCCGTCCCAATCGTCACCACCAACTAAATATATGACTAGAGAGAGGAATGTTTGTCTATGGCAACATATAAGTGGCAAATCCGACCATTATTGTCTTAACCTTAATCTACTTTCAATTTTTGGCAAAACAATACTAATTCCAAATTTAAACTTTCGTATTGAGCAAAATGCGATTTTGGCCCTTTTTGGCAAACGAGATTCAACGGAAGACTGTAGCACAGAACGTATAATCAAAGCAGTAGCTCGTTACAAAAAAAACGTGTACGTACTCTAAAAAAAAATGTTTACCACAATTATTATACCAATGCTATATATAATATACATTACTGTAATATGAATATAAATAAAAAAAATTTAAAAAAGTCGAGCAATAATTAAAATTATCCAATTACTTAAATGGTGTAGCTTGTGTGTGATAACATACTCATATAAGAACATTTGATACAGCCTTGGTTATACGTAATGCAACTGTAGGCCCCAAGCAAAGCGCACTACACAGGTCTACGCTACGTGTCTACGTCTCGGCGGAGTTACGACGTCACAAGACGCCCACACATCCGCCGTAATAGCACGGTTCACAACCAAGTGTGGCAAACGCCTGAAAGAATTGACAGTGACACTGGAAGATGCATGTTTTCATTTCATGCCAAGAGACCAGCTGATAAGGTTAGTCACAAGAGTACTGTTTTACCATGCTAGATCGAAGGACCCCACTCCTTCCCAAGAAAGTATTCACTCAAAATAAAGTCTACTGAACCCAACGTGCATAAGCAATGTACAAGATACCAAGAGGCAGCACGGACACGGCGCGCTAAATTCCATGTAAGTTTGCAGATCGGCGCTTACACAAAATGAGCCTTTCCCCGGCGCATCCCAACTGTTCTTGGTACCCTGTGGCTAAATGTTCGCGTGAAACCCCGGATCTATGAAATAAAACACACAATTCTAATATTATTCAATGTAATGACACAATCTAAGTGCTCATTTACAGGTTACGTTCGAGCATACTAAATAATACTACTTCTAACATACCTCACAAGTAATGTAGCCTATCTAATACAAGTGTATTAAAAAAATATAAATAAATTACTGTTAGGCTGCGAGGTTGCACCCCTGCGGTTGGACACTTGACACTGCCACAGTACACTTTCACCAGTTTTCCAACATCATAAAAATGCCGTGTCAAGTATTCAGCTTCTAAGAGGGACCTTCGATACATATTATATATAAAAAATTAAGTACAATTTATAGGGTCATCAGTGGGCGTCTAGATTGAGACACCCCCGGTTCCCCACGGAGGGCAATGACGTCACTATAAACCATCTAATACTGAGAAATTTAGGGAAAATAATAATATACAAAAGGTGTTAAACAATAAAGGATCATATCGCGTTTTTATGTTGGCAAAGAGTGCTCCGGGCTAGCATGCGCGCTACGATATATCCCTCTCGCAAGTGTTAGAAAAAATTTCGTTTTACGACGGACCAAAATCAGAAGAATATGTATTTAAGTGTAGTTAGTGGATAAAATTATTTCTACCGCAGGCATCCTACGTATCACCAATTGTATCCAATGAGATCGAGATTAATGTACTATATTATGAACACAACGCAATGACAATACGAGCGACATAATTTGATCGAACCGCGCACGCTAGGGCCGCTGTCAAATAGCAGCAGTATTAATAATCTATGATCGTCAAAATCACTTCTCAAACTCTATATCCAGTGCAACATAAAAACGCACAAAAAATGTAATCTCAGAGGGTTCTAGTCTACTTATAATAAGAATACTGCTAAAGGGTATGTGTATACATGTGATTACTAGTATTATTACGTTAACAGCCCTGGCTCGCCACAGGGTATATAAAGAATCTCAGGTCACAGATAGAGATTCTCGAAATCACCAGAGTAAAGTATGAGATTCGTTGGAAGAACAAGCCAGGGCTATAAGTGAATCGACCTATGCAGGATCGTGGTCGACAAAGCTTACGCATGCATTGGCTCTACTCTCGCCACCTGTCTTTGCCTGGCGAACCTTGTTGGCCGGTCACGAGATATCTGGCAAGATTCGAATCACGTATAGGACCAGTCTTGGATCTTGTCAGAACGCCATAATATCAATTTTCGTTCAATCGTGTAAAAAATTGTCGAAACCGAAGAGCAATTAGCAATAGTTCTAGGACTCCGAGAGGAATCACAGAGAGGACCGCGTCCCGGGAATTTCGACTTAAAACTAGGAATTGCACGAACACAACCATCAATCGTCTTTTATAATAATACTTTTCTAATCACAGAGTATAAATATTCGAGTATTGCTTTAAGTTTTAGAGCCTAACTACCTAATCTACGAGAATTTAAGTACACAACACAACTGGGTTTTCAAAATAGGCATTTTAATCACAAAGGACATCCAATATTGTCTGTAGTTTACGGGGTTACAGGTACTCATTACTTATGACACATTTAACTGTTCAAAACGCGACATATAAGTTCTGCACGTGCTGTAAAGCATTCAAAACGTTTTAGCCTTTAAAAGTGCCTTATTCAACAAAAAAAGTGGAAAACTGTGTAATGTTAAAAGAAATGCCTGTTACTGTTAAAGTGACTGAGAAATATTGAAGCCTAAACGATATTAAAGATTGTATAAAGACTAAACGAAAAATCACTAAGTATTCCTAATATCGAGGGAAAAACATTTGGAAATAACTAACCCTTCACCCAGCTAAGAAAATAACATACTCACTTAAAATAAGTACCAAAGCCGAAGGCAAGAACCAGCCTGCTCCGGGTCCAGGCAAAGACAGGCGTAAACTATAGCTGTTTAAATACTTATTGTCATAGTACGCTTTAGGTGTTAGTCAGCATTCAAGTTACCTTAAGTTCTATGACGCTATGACATAGGAAGACCACACATTTTGGACATCGATGGTCGGCAGCGACTTTAAGAGTACCATGCAAGGTTTAAACAGATCCAAAATATTTGGCCCTGAATGTCGAACACTATTCAAGTCAGATAAAATGTCTGTCGTAATTTTTGAGAGAATTCAGCCTCTCGATAAAGCTTTCAAAAATCCCATTAAAAATACAGATATGAATATTAATTGCATATCTCGAGTTGCCAAGAGCGAGTTTGTAAATTTCTATTAAAATAACAGTTTTAGGCGAAATTTCAATGTTGTAATACTGAACGTTTCGATACTTTAAAGTTACCGTAGTGCGAGTTTTCGTTTACAAAATTTGGCAACACCCTTACAAACTAAATTATATAATTGACAATGTGCCGTCTCAAAAATCACGACAGATAGCGTCGTCTACATCGTAAAATGGCATACAAATGATTGCTTCTTCTGTTAGATATGTATGAGTGAGCGTACGACAGACGCCGCGTGACGTCAAACACACACGACACGGAGCGTGACGTTCCACGACGCCATTCTCGCGTAATATATGACGGCGCTTTTAATGACGCGGGTCGCGACCCATATCCGGCGATAATTATGTAGTGATGCGGGTAGTCTTCAAATACGGGGTCGAGAGTTTTCATATACACAGTGAAGCGTCGCGCCCCGGTCTTATTCCGAAATAAAAAAATAGTTTGGCACAATTTAGTGTCCCTCGATGGCACGGAGCTTCATAATACTGATTCGACGGCCAAACGTCACACGAAGTCCGGCCACTTAAGTACATAGCTGCGGAGATTCGAATATAAATATTGCCAACCGTGCACTAACACTACGTTACAAAAAAATCAAGACACGAAATTAGTAAGTTTCAAACTAATAAAATAATCTGAGATCTTCGCCTTATAAATAAAAATGCGTATCTTTGCGTCGGGTCCCGTTTCGGGCCAATTATTGCTCAAAAACCGTCTTAACCTAGTGAGCGTGAAAATGTTCCACTGGGCAAGACGTAGGAACTGTTTTCGAAAAAAAAAACTGCGATCGCAGTACAACCTAATCGGAGGCGGGTGGGGTCGTCGAGTCGCTTTAGATGTACATCGGCACGCCATACATTGCGCTCCAATCGACGCTCTGGAAAGATGACATATCGACACCGGCAAGAGAGTACGCGGCTCCGAATTGGGGTAAGGTGGGGGCCGGAGCTGGGGCGGGAGGAGCTACTAAGGCTGTGGCGGCGGTCGCGGCTGTCGGAAGAGCGTACGGAGCGTATCTATAAGCGTGCGCGCCGACGGCCGGTACCGCGCCCACTCCGCCGGCGTACACTAACCCGCGTCCGGGTCGAAGGACCAGACGCTTGCCGAGCGCCAACGGCGTCGCCGCTACCGCTTCCTTTGGCTGAGCGCGCTTGCACTCGACTTTCTTATTCTTTATTGTGTGGAAATGTATTTCGCAGACTCGCTCGACTGCCTCCTCCGAGTGAAAGGTGACGAAACCGAATCCGCGGTGACGCTTCGTCTGCTGGTCCATTAGCATCACGGCGTCTTCGACGAGACCGAATTGCGAGAAATAGGCGCGCACCTCCTCCGCGGAAGTGTCCTGCCCGACTCCGCCGACGAATATCTTTTTTGTTTTAGTCGGTTTCGGGGCGGATTTTGGTGTCGCGTGTTTAGGGTCGATGCGCTTTCCGTCCAGAGTGTGGACGGGCACGGCGAGGACCTTGTCCACGGATGAGGCCTCCTGAAACGTGATGAAACCAAAGCCGCGCGAACGCTGCGCGCGGCGAATGTATTAGTGACCCGTTTAGGACGCCGAAGTTACATTGGTAGTTTTGCAAGCACATTGAAAGAGAAATAGTAGACTAGAGTTTAAAGTCGTATTAATTTTATAAACCTACCAATGCAATTCAGGCTTCAAAGATCAAGAAAAATAAACGTTACTAATAAAACATCCCTTTTCATGAAAATAAGGATGTTTCATCGGCAGTTAAAAAGTTACACTAAAAGGACAACACCTAATTACACAACCTACAATACACTTGTACCTCCAAGGATTCGTACGGGATATTACGATCATGCTTTTCGTTACTATTAGTACATCACTAGTACCTAGTTTCGTTTGGAGTTAGTAACTATACATTGTAAGATACAGTTAGAGGTCTAAGAGAGTTACAATGTGAGAACCCATACAACACTAGCTCGATACCGTGGCTACACCTACCGAGCAGTATCATAATTCTACCATTGTAGGCAAGTTACGTCATAATCTAGACTAGAAGTACTCGTTAGGCTAATCGATACGAACACACGAAAATGTTAGCTATTAAAATTGTATCTAATAATTAATTGTTAAAAGTATGATTCGGTGGACACTGTCGTTTTACAAGAATAGTCTAATATTTTTTACGTGTTTACTAGGATTGATAAGCATTGTCGTACACAAGTCTTTCGGAAAGGTACTATAAATCACACGGTATTCTGTAGCTAAATATAGTCACAATAGAATCTAGATATTCATTTTCTAATATAATTAATTACACAAGCATTTAAAATTAGCAAACAGTAAACAAACAAGGTTGTTTTATATAATGTTTCTATTTAGTGGACCAGTTCGTTAGTGGAAACATTTGTTTGGAGGATTGTAATCTACCGAGAGATTCAAATTCAGAAGGTGGATGTTTTAGTCTATTCTATGTGGGTTAAAACAATCAAGGAAGTTTCTTGGTTGAGTTCTTGAGCCTTTATTGCTAGCGTTCGCCCCCCCAGCTAACCGTGGCATATACAAATCGCTACGCGGATTTCATGCCCGGCGAACATTTTATACAAATGTCTAAAGAACGTAGATATACATCTACAGTGTATTTTTCCTAACTTGGCAAAAAACCGCAAGAAATATGGCCGATTTTAAACCATAGAGATTTAGTGTTGCCCTTTTATAGACTGTAGTCATTGCCACAGATGACATAGGGTTAAAGAAATATCCATTTTAAATGGACAAAACGACATTCAAAGACTTTTTTGACGACTTGTTTCGTGTATTTGCATACATCACTATCAATATTGCAAAATATTAATGACTAGCTGTGCCCGCAACTTGGCCGCGTGGAATATTGACTTGGGGTAGAATTTTTAATTATTTAGGCTGTTTATTAATTTATGTAAGGCATTTAAGGCAGCCAATCTATGTTGTAAGTGCTACTTTGCCGAAACACTCTTACCTCACAACACTCCTACTCTAACTCCCACTCCCACTTCACAAAAAGCTAAAGAAGAAAGTTTCATTGTTCTGGCTTCAAAAACCACGAATTTCCATACAAACTTTTATCCCCTTTTTCAACCCCTATCGACCCTTTTTTGGCATTAAAAAGTATGGCTCTAAAATATCTGTGTACCAAATTTCATTTAAATCCGTTCAGTAGTTTCGGAGTTAAAGCCGGACAGACAGACAGACAGTTACTTTCGCATTTATAAAATTAGTATAGATTGTGAGTCATTTTTACTACTATGTCATGGGAAAATAGATTGTTTGAGTTTTTAAGGCCCAGTTTTGAGTTTTGCTCTACGCGTTGGCGTTCCGGCCGCTAAGTCTTCAGCTCCATCGTAACTTGTTATGGCGTATTATTACGTTTGGCGTCCGTCAGTCCGTCCGGGAATCGTCGAGCCAACGTATCTGGCAGTATAAGTGCTATCTTGTGTTAAATGTTATTTCTATGAAAAGCTTAAGTCCACGATTGTTTACCCAGCAATAAATGCTCATAAAACTCAACCAAGTTTTCCTCACTTGTCCAAACAACGCTTAATGTTAGTGAATCTAGCATGCCGTTGTGTACTATCAAGTATCAATCCGTTTTTTTTACGTATAGCCCATCTATTTCTACTGTATCATAAACAAAACTTACTTAAAAACCATAGATTCGATATGCTGTATACAGGGTTTTATTTTTAGCTGAATAAAAACCGCCTTCAAAGATACACTTAACGGTTTGAAATACATTAGTCAATTTACTTTTGACCACCCAACGTTTCCGTAGCCTATCAGGTCGTGGTGAAGCAATAAAATAACGGTTACATTCACGTTCTAAACAATTTAAACGGATTTATACGGACTTTATTTATAACGGATTTTTTTTTCCCCGGGTTTCGAACCGAGCCGATGACGCAGTATGTACATATACAATTGTTTAATAAAATTTAACCCTTATTCTTAGCAGAGGGAGGCAAGGGGGACACAGGTCAACGACTGTTTTTGTTTACCCTCCACAATATGATAAACGTTTGTGAGAAACATCCCATTTAAAGTATTCATAAAAGAGCATTTTGAATTGAGCATACGCATTCAACGTACGACCCAAATGAACATGTACGATAATTCATGCGTTGTGATATTAAAAATTTACTTAAGCAAAAAAAAATGACTAGAACTCACGACCTACAGTATAGTAACTCCACAGTACAACAGTCAAATGCATTATGCGCAAATCCTAGCTTTGAATTTTAGAAAACATGCAGAAGTATAATTACTTCTGGTAAATATAATTGCGTTAGGTAAAACGGACGCAAAAATGTGTCTACACAGGTTAAGGAGAATCAAGATTTGGATATGTTTGATGTTGATTTCAACACATGTACCTTGTTTTAAACATGTTTCGAACCTGTCGTTTAATAAAAAAAAACCCTTGCCTGTCCAACTTAGATTGGTGAGTCGATTTCTCTGTTTTATTGCTAATACTTGATCCTGATCGTTGTCTTGTAAGGATCTCTTATGTCAGAAATTAAAAAGTTTTGTCTATGATACAACCAGTAACCACGCACCCTAGGACTACCTAATACCAGATCGAAAAATGTACACTGACCAAGACAGAGGATCGCCATGTTGCTATCATATATAATCACTGTTTTTCAAAAAGAACATTTAGTTTCCACTGCAAATTATTTACCAATACATGTTTATCATTTGTAAAACATCACAATAGCTTAAAAAATATTTTATATAGTATAAATTGAATCCTAAGTTTTCAACTCAATATGTTTGTATCACTTGAAAATAAAATATATTATGTTAATTTAATAATTAATGTTAGCCTATTAATAAAAAAAAAACTTAGCATGTGAAAATCTTACAATCTTAGTAATGACGCAAAGTTGGGACAATAAATAAAGATAGTATAGGCAGAAACAACAATCTAACAATTATGAAGATATTTCTTCCACGCATGTATAATGTTATTGTTTAAAAAAAACTCTTTCACATGCTAAGCTTGATGGTAACTAAACCCACAATACCATGCTTCCAACTCACCTGTGTCACAGGATCCTTCATGATAAGTACATCAGTAACAGCCCCGAACATTGCGAAGTACTCCCTGAGCTTCTCTGAGCTTGTTTGCCAGCTGAGCCCTCCGACGAAGAGTTTACTTGGCGATGGAGATGTAGTACCAGCATTGCTTGTAACTGGGGTCGATCGGCCCGATGAAGGCGAGGTTTCTGGAACAAGACCTAAATTTGAATAATAAATTATCTTTAATTGCAAACTTATGATGACCTATGTGTTAGTTAACTAAAGCCATATGCTATACTAGGCAAAACACATTGTCTAGCATTATTAATACAGAAGTTTACAGGTTTCAAGATGGCGGTACACAGACATGTTTTAGTTCAGTAGGTGTAGTGCCAATTTAAATGGAATAAAGTTAAATATCTTTTATGTGTTATCTATATTTTGTTTAATTAAACATTCATATTACACTATTCTTCTTTATATGTATAATTTCTATAAGCCATTTCAAAATTAATAAGCTGTTCATGAAATTTCTTGAGATATAGAATGGGGTTAATTCTATAAGTAATAATTCTATATGAATCCTTAGGCACATTAAAAAACTCATTTGTTTTTTTTTAAAACAGATAATATGTACCTACAACTTATAAGCCCTGTTGAAAAAATTTAAAGTATGATATGGACATAATTGTTTTTAAAACGTTAATTTCACTAAATTGAACAATATTCAACAATTACAGTCAAATGTTAAAGTGATTGTAGAAGTATTATTATATAAATGAAAGGCTGCTTTCTTATAAGAAAGCCTCTATTGACATTGTTCTAGGTAATGTACTGAATTAAATATATTGAAGCACATGAGGAAATATTAAGAAAACACAAACGCCTCTTTTAACAAAGACAATCTCACTATTGTTGTATATCTTTCAGAGATCATATTCTTGTATAAGAAAAGTACTATAACTAGTTTTTGAGACATTTAAATGAACTTACTTATTTGCTGAACAGCAATCTGCTGCTGTTGTTGATGTGCCGCTGCCGTAGCAGCCGCGTGGGCGGCAGCTTGTGCACTGAGCACATGGGCTGCCAACTCGCCGTCCACCATCTCCAAGCCTCCAAGCGCACCGCTAGAATACACCATCATTTTAGCACTAAACCACTCTAATTCAAGAGGTATAATTTAAATTACACAATACCACGCTCGAACAAGCGCGGCGACGCCAAATAATCCGCGTCCAACTCGCTTTCTATTGGCGAAAACAAATGAAAAACGTAAAAAGTTGGCGTTCTAAAGCGTTGTTTATGATATTCAAAAAAGGTTTTACTGAATATGAATTCTCTATAGTTAAATAAATGAATTTTCGATACACAACCTATTTCCAATAAATAACACACAATTCACAGTAAATACGTACTAATGAAAGCTCAGTCCATTCATCGATAAATTATAATAAATATAACTCCACTTATACATAGCGTTTAATTATTTCAATACTTCATTAAGAACGACACCCAAATATAGGTACTAACCTAAAAAATATTAAATATTGTTTGAATTCGGCCGTTAACTGTTTCGTTTTCTGTCGCTGTCTTTCGGCGTTTTAGTAAGGGCATTTACACATTATAAACTAAATGAAAAATCAAAAAGATTTTTTAAGAATCCGTGTCTTCAATATTATTTTAGAACATATTTCATAAATTACTTGAAATGTAATTTGTTTTAATTACTAATGATCCGTGCTTAAATAATTTTTAATTGAATCTGTTTTTTCAAAACCGATCGGTATTCTAGGTTTTTTAATCAAACATTGATTTTTATAAACGTAATATGAATACTGTGTGAATGTAAGCGTAAATTAGGTTTTGTTATTATTGTTTTACGTATAATAATCGACATTGTGTATTCGCAGCTTTACGGTGACAGCTAGAATATATGGCAAAATGGCGGCAATTCAAATTGTAGCAACTAAATCAAAACAGAAAATCCTATTTATAATAATAAATAAAAGTAAAGATTTCAATCAAAATTTTTGAGAAAGATACATTAATCGAAATTATTGACATACTTTTCTGTTTGAAATAAAGGATATAGACAAACAATGGAATATTCCGATAATTATTATTAATACTACTGTAATAAAGTAAAAACTTACGCCATTTTGAAAACTGATCATGACTAGGATGTTTACGCTTATAGATAATTTATAATGTATAATTTAAATAAAACACTAATGTTGTACCGTAGTTACTACTAATACATTTTGCATTTTTAACCGTTACAGTGGTTTATTTAGACTAATATTTGTATAAAAGATGCATCCAAAGCTATAATATACTAAGATGATTCTTTTAAAAGTTATGTTTAAATAAATCAACGTTTTCCGTAATCCGATGTTAGAAATTATGAAAATATTATCGCACCTGCAACATGGATTAGCATAATAAATTCTTGGCGGACTTTGAGAAATTTAAGGCTTAACGAGCTGTAAGTTTCCTTGATTAAAAAAGTTATGTATTTACCAAACTGCCAAATAGTTATGTACGATTAATATAAGACGTAAGTAGTATTTTTTTCGCCGCATTATCTTTGTAACCTGTTTTTTAACATGGTGATGTGTGGAAGGGTGAAGAGTGGGGAGGGTGGTAAATCGTACTACAACCTCCTCGGAGGCAATAGCCGACTAGAACCACCAAACACACCACCAGCCCGCTACGCTGCTTTCGAGGAAGCCCTGGGAGCATGTTTGTATGACTCAAAGTTAAAACTTGTTGCCTAAACTAGTGTAAGATGGAGATTCTAAGTTCAAACCCTGGGAAATTAAATGAATGGTAGAGGTTTAGCAGAGCAGGTAAATAGAAGCAATGTATCAGTTCGATGCTGAAGTGGAAGTAACCCAAATTTATTTTTGAGCTTATATAAAATTGGTAAGAGTAGATACACACTGTCTGTAGTTACCGCGTGTAGTACACATTTAAATGAAAAACTTGAACGGTTTAAAACGCGATATATATATTAGTTGAAATTATGTGAAAATTATTCATACCGTAAACCGTACGAACTGAAACGTCGGGTCGTTGTTTTCAAATAAGTTTTAGGCCGTTCGAGTGTTTTATATAAAAGATTGATACTACAAATGGTCGTGCTTGTGATAGCGAAATAAATGAATATCGTATTTTATCACGTAAATTACAGTGTTTTTACACTGATAAGCAATTTGTGCATAATGACATCTTGTAAAATATAAACAATGCACTTAAATAAACTTTTCCCCCCCCCCCCTCCCCCGGGAAACCCCCCCCCCCCCACCCCCCCCCCCCCCCCCCCCCCAAAAAAAAACCCTTTTCCCAAAATTTTCCCCTTTTTTCCCCTTTTTTCCCCCTTAAAATTTTTTTTTTTAATTTTTACCCCCCCCCAAAAAAAAAAAAAAATTTTAAAAACGTTTTTTTATTAATAATATAAAATTAATTAGAGTAAATAAAATAAAAATAAATTAAAGTAACACGTGTAATAAAACACGATAATCATATAGAGAAAAATGTAAAATTAATTAGAAAAAACATTAGACCTAGTGGCATCTAGCCCATGGCGAGTAGCTTAGTCTAACTTTGCTATCATTGTCCCATGAAAAGTCGAACATAAGTTCCACGCGGAGGAAGTCGCGGGCACAGCTAGTTTAAATTATAATTATGGTGGCGTACATTTTCTCTATTTACTGTTTTTCAATAATACACTTTAACGGACTAAAACGCGATATATGGCCATGGTCCCTCCGTGACCACAGCTGCTGCAAGGCGGGCCGCGGTAATAGTTAGCAAATAAGTTTAACTAATAAATATCGCGTTTTAAACCATAAAGTGTTTTATTTAATTGTATACACACTACTCGCGTAAACTACATACAGTATTTACTTACAGTTTGTAGTAGATACTGTTGGGAATCTTTATGTCTAAAAGTACCGGTAAGGCATCCAGGGATGGGCAATAAATCAAAGTGGAGAACCTCAATTTATCTTGTAAGAATGTTTTGTGCTGGTAACCCTCCGTGACAGATGTCCACAGATTACATTTAAATCAACGTAAACTAATGATATTCATACATAGATAAATCATAATTATTATTATGTCTGAGATGACACGCCACAGACTATACAAGGTCTTTGTTTATAGTTGAAATAAAAATTGTAGTAATAGTTTTTATAATACTCTCTAGAGCCCTTACAATCACTAACTAAATCAAATCGAACTGCACTACGTAATCTATGCCAAGACTTTCACTTAGATATTTTTTCCATTAAGAAATAACGGCTTCTCTTAACAATAACCGTTTATAGGTCGAGTGCTTTATCAATCTGTGATGGCACAGACTATATCAAAACGTTAGTCTTTACTATAGTTTCGATGTAGATAAAATTAAAATGTATGCGGAATGTATATAATGAAGAAAAATACAGCAGTCTAGGTAGACTAAGTTGAATATATAAAGCTGAAGAGTTTGTTTGTTTGAACGCGCTAATCACAGGAACTACTAGTTCGAATTTAAAAATTCTTTGTTGTGTTGGTTAGTGCATTTATGAGAAAGGCTATAAGTATATACCTCGCTGCGATGGTAGGTATGAAGAAACAGCAAAAAAAATGGGAAAATTATTCATTCTTCTGAGTTTCCGTTGCGTACGCTGCGAAAACGGTTCAAGATACCCAAAATAGTATGTATCAAAGAATGCTTCGTCTTTAAATAATCTAAAAAGATATCTCAGACAGTATCTTTTAAGATTAACTTGCAAGAACGATGGGACGCGGACGACGTCGTGGGTAGCAGCTTAAATGTATATAACAGGAGGTTTGCAAAAACTAATTTAATTTTTGATGGCGAAAATAACTATTCTACGCGGACGAAGTCGCTGACACGGCTACCTAAAATAAATAATTTGCCGATGTTGTAGCTTAGTTAAACATATTTGAAAATGATTATTAACTTCGGCCCGACGTTTCGGATGCTATGCAGCAGCCGTGGTCACGGGGAGACAATTTCAAATAAGTTTAACGAATATATCGCGTTTTAAACCGTCAAGTGTTTTATTTAAATGTGTACTACACGCTTAACTATAGACAGTATATTGAACCTGCTATATAAATAGAATGCATTTTCAGAATTTACCACGCTACGCAGAAACACTTTCCACCCCCGCCCTAGTTACCCCAACAAGAAATCCTGTTGCTCATTAGGTAGTTTTTCAATTAAGTTCATTGCACTCTTGACAGTTCTCAGCGGCCATATTGTTTTACTTACACAGATAATAAATAACTCAACTATGTGTTTGTGTATTCTGTGTGTAATTAAAATATTATTTTTTATAAGCAAGCAAGATAGTTATGGAAAAATATATTTTGTGTCTTCATTTTTAAGCTTCGTACAGCTAGAACAGATATTAGGCACAGAGGGAAATTGAACGAATTGAAATCCACGAAAATCGATTTAGCCGCTTACGAGTGAAGTGAATAAAACGACAGTATTAATACATTATAGAGATACAAGTCATAAGTCCTAACTCTATTTAACCTCTGTGGGGCGTAGATCAAACAAATTTATATCAAGTCTGTAGTTTTACTTCGACACTTTGGTACACATTCCATATCCCCGCGACCACGGCCATTGCAAAACATTCGAATCGTCGGGCCCTAGTTGAACTAATTTGCAAATAAGTTTAACTAATACATTTCGCGTTTTAAACCGTTGAAACTGTTTCATTTGAAACATTTTTTTATGTTTGTTTCACTGATCACTGAACTTGTTCATGCCTGATGGATACAAACAAATAATTGTGTTTCCAGGATTCGAAAGGGCCTTACGCTCTTAACCCTAGACAATGCGTTGGAACAGCAATGGAATAATTAGATATTAATTACGGATTATTAATAAATATGGAGTTCACTTCTAAGTAATAGTACACTTAGGTACAAAGGCGTGAACCGCCCAGCCCCCTGGGCTTGCTATCGTTCGTGGAAATGGGACGCGATGAGAACACGAGGCTAGTTCTTTCTAATGTTCTGCGTATCGTCCGTAAGATACCATCCGCTATAAAGGATTATAAAATACAATAAAAACTCCTTATTCCTGTTTCCTATCCTTATTCCACGATAAAAAAA